TGGCAGGTAAACCAACAGAAATTCAATGCAAAGAACCTCATAGTTCTGCTGAGATGCATTACCAATGTGATGGGAGCTTTGCTGTGTCTCTACCCCTCAGTGATTGGGCAATAATTCCCTGGTAAAATGCACTATCTCCACCTGACTGAACACCAGCAGTGTTCTCACTTCCCCTCTTTCAGTCAGCCCAGCTCAGGAAGGGTTGAACTGTTCAGAGTAAGACTAAGAAAGCTTCTGGGGTGGCTTGCAATTATAGCACCATGTTAGGGTTTTATTTTTGGTAATACTATTCAAAGCACACTCACAGTAGCATAATAAAAATTGATATTAATTCAGTAATAAGTGAGACCTGGAGGGATTAATACCCAGATGAGAAGTGTGACAGCATGAAGTCAGCCTGAGGCCACAACCACCCCAGCTAGCTACTCATTTTGGGAGGAAATACTTCATGTGATCATTATTGCTGTTAGAATCTGTTTGGAATTTTATTCAGAAGGAAAACAAACATCTTTCTCACATGGCTTTAAATCCCCCAAGTGCTACCAAAATGAATTTTTTGATTACCACCACAGCTCTTAGATTTCTTCTGGAAAATTTATCCTCAGAAAGGGATGCCATCCTTCTCTCTCTATCTTCCTTCTGTACACACATCAACCTGCAACAAGCTTTAATAACCATGCTGGGTTTGGGGTTAAATGCACGACATTTTCATTGCATGAGAGAAATAATGAAAGGAGGGATGGCTAAGTACTTGAGCTGGGTTTCACTCCAGATACTAAGAAAAGCAAACACTCATGCCAACAAATATAAACCCTCACAACTTGAGAAAATAATACCTTCTTGAACCTCAAGGTGCAGCAATCACACATTCGTCCTCCTCTTGGAACTGGAGCTGACTAGAACAGGTCACAGAAATTGCATCACAACACACAGCTAATGATGCTTAAATGGGTTAAAGAAATAACAATTGAATTGTCCCTTTAAAGGTTAATTGTAGACCTGCCAGCTGAGTGACCTACATTTGCCTGGTCAAAGCCATCTGTGAGAGGGGGCAAAAGAAATACTTTCAGAAAGGAAATTCTGGTTTGACATTAAAAGATAGACTCTTCCTTTCCATTGCTCACGGGCCTAGAAAAGCAGACTGAGCCTATCCAGGGTACACAGCAGCACAGCAGACTTGCACGTCAGCTGCTGGCAGCACAATAAAGACCACAGAGCTACAGCCATGTGAGAAGTCGATGATTTTTGGATTATTTCCTCAGTGCAAATCTTTCCTCTCATTCCTTTTCCAAATACAAAAATAAAAAGCTTTAGGGAAGCACTTTCCTTGTTAACATATTTCTTTAAACTTGCCCTGTTTATGCAAGAATGCTTTAGTTATTTTATTATTCTGGTGATAACTCTATTTTTTTTTCTTTCTGCTCCTAAGAACCAGATACAAGGTGCACATCGTGCTTACAGATGTGGACTCAGAAGTTTTGCCACTCCACCACGAAAGCCACTCGCTTTTCAACAGAGAGAGAGAAGGTGGCAGCTGTAAGCATCCTATAATTTATATGCAATTGTGGTTCTGTCTTCTCTATCCCCAAAACAGAGAATAAGAAATACTAAACACTAGCCCATGAATGATATTTCCTTTCAAGATGTGTTTTCTCTCTTTAAGCATGTTATCCTTTTGCATGCCCTTATTACTTTTCCATGTGTGCCTCTCTATAAAGATATCTAAATGCTTCAATTTTTTTTTTGTCTAAAGGCTGTGATATTTTTTCACTGTCTCCTCATTCCTGTTTGTTCTTATTGTATGGTATGCCCCACGCAGTTTAGCCAGGTGCAAAATAGAAAAAAAGAGGCTGTGCTAATGGCAACTCAACTCTTCAAGACTTGGAAATGATCCCTGTCTTTGCCAGACATCACAGAGAACCATCAGCTTTTAGTGTTTCCATACTCCTTCCAGTGACTGACCATCACTTCTGATGCACTGAAACTTTCCAAACTAGGCTTCAAATTGTAGGTACCTCAAATCTCTCTTTCCCTGAGCTTCAAGTGCAGCCCTGGTTCCCTAATGCCTAACTGAACTAACTTTCAAAAGCTGAAAATGTGAATATCCTCTTCAAAGTCAAGGCGTATCAAATTTTATGATATCTAAATCATATTCTGAATTTTGATTAAAAAAAGTTGAGCAGTTCTTTGTCAGCTGCCTGGAAGCAGGCAGAGAACTTTTCCACTTGCAGCTCAATGATACAAACATACTGGGCTGCTGGAGAGGATTGCTGTTGCTGTCAAACCTATTTGCCTTGGAATCCATCCAGTTTCATTCTACCATGTTATCAACGTGAGCTTAATCTCAGTCACAAATGTCCATTCCTCTTTTATTGCTTTATGGAAGTCTGCTAAAATTACAGCTTTTATATAAAGTCCAGCACGGTAAATAGAGATACCCCAAAAAGTTTCCACTGACTGTACAATTTGTGAAAACAGAGGAGTTATTTTTTTAATAGCCTGACATGAATTTCCAGGATCATCCATTTAGTGAACACTGAACACTGTTCTACAGTATAAAAATCATGTCTAGAGTAACTCACATTTTGAAATCCATTTTCCATCTATTTGATAGGAACACTAATCTCCTTTGTAAAGAAAGTTTTTACTGTAGATTTTGCAAATTAAGGAAAACTCTTAGGTTTGTCATTCTAACAATTCCATTTCCTACTAACATTTTTTGTTCTCATTCTGTTTTTACAGTCACCACCAAAGAATCTCAAAGTTATGCAATAAGACAGGCTTTAAAGCCACCAGGGACCTGCTAACACAAGATGGAAACAACTTATTATGCAAGTAAGATTAAAACACTGACCTTGAGTCCTCAGTCTTTTGCCAAGGGGCAGTGTGCATGTGTGGGGGTGGAAAATCAACTGTGGTACAGAAGCTTGCACTGTGCTTAGGAAAGCACAAGAATTTTCAAAAGCAAAGGCCTCCATCATATAAGAAAGTGGAGACACAACAGATATTATGATCATTTTAATATTTCACAGGCAAGGCATCTATTAGGGAATAACACAGCTTCACTTCTGCACACAGGCAGTATCATTTTCTGCTCATCATCCTCTCACATTGCAGCCAATCCTGCAGTGATTGTTCCAAACCATCCCAGTCTCTGCTGGCCTGCAGGGGCCACCCCAGCAGCAAGGGCCAGCCCGTGGGGATGGGAGCCCAGCTGTGCCAGCAGCCTGGCAGCAGGGCTGCTGCAGGGGCCAGGCCAGCTGGGATTCCCTTGGACACAGAGGGTGCCAAGGGCTGGAGCAAACAGGCTCCAGATGCCTTTGTGCTCACAGTGCAAGGCCAGGCCCCAGGATTAGCAGTGACCCAGCTATGTCCTACAACCTGGGGCTGTCACGCTGCACAGCCCGGAACAGGAGTGCTTTATAGGAAATTATTAAGTAGGAAAACACAAGAAAGAAAATATGACTTTTGCCTCAGTGCAGTCATGTTAACACTCCTTGTGCCTGTCTCTGGCATTCCCTGCACTTCCCTAAGATCATCAGTGCCATGTTGCATTTATATCAACAGGCCCAGGCCATCATTTGCATGGGTTTGATTGACAAAGCAGTGACAAAGGAAATGTGTCCCAGGACACTTGGGAAGATCAGCATCTGAACAGCTGGTTCTGCTGCTTGAAAGTTATGCTTCACTGAGACTAATAGGTTAATTCTATTTTCAACTATTCTTTTAGATGGAGAGAGGTTCTTGCAGGGGCTGAGAATGTCTTTATCAGCAGCAACAGAGTTCTACTGTCTTACTGCAGTCAGGCTGGAATACTGCCTCAAGGTAACACTTTTTTATGTTGTTTGGGGCAGTAACATGGCTTTAAAGAGGTGATTACAGCTGACTGCATCACTAGGAATCTTAAAGAAATAGAAGATATGAAGGAAGGTTTCTTTGGTTATGGCTTTTCGGTGCTTTTTGTTTGGCTTGGGTTGGATTTTTTGTTAACTACCCCAAAAAACTTCTCTTCTTGTGTCTCCCAGAAGAGAGCTGAGAGGGAAAGAACCAGAGAACTGCTGGAATACACATTCAGAAGAAAGACAGACAGAACAGAGACATTTCAGGAGCACTCCATCCCAGGGGATCTCCATGCCTGTTCTGCTCAGCTTCCAAACTGGAAACACATCTATTTTCCTTCCATACATACATTAAAAAACTCTGATAGATTGGTATCTAAGAAGATAAAAAAGTATTTCCTCAGAAATGGGAGAATTCGTTGGAATTGCTTGCAACAGCACAGTTCCACTCAGCCTTAAAGACTGAGCAACTGTTATTACAAAATTAATATAAACATATACAGTGTTTAAAATATTCTGTGTATTAAATAATTTTGTTTCTTTCTTCGAACAGGAAATTTTGCTAAAAGAGGTGGTAGAAAGAAAAAAAGCAAAAAAAAGAGAAAATAAAAAAGGTAATAAATAGAAATTCTTTGGAAAAATACAAAACAAACCTAGAGTTTTGAGTAGGAAAAAAGTGAACAGACAGTTGGTCATCCTTTATGAAAAAAAGGTTAATCTTTTTTTCAACCAATTAAAATCAGACTGGCTGTGGAAGTTAAGAATACAATTATAGAACTGTTATTTGTTCTGATTTTTATTATTATGGTGAAGAAGGAAATGTCAAATGAGAATGTGGCAGAAAAAGGAAAAATCTCTCAATAAATCATAATGCAAAAGGGGAATAAGATAAAGGGGAATGAGATAATCTGCTTAGTACAATTATAGAAGAATTATATGTGTTCTTGGGTAATATCATATCTATAGTCATATATATATATATATAATCATATAGTCATGAGGGAGGACAGCCTTCCACAGAAGATGGTAAATGCTGCAAAAATCAGTCTCAATCTTTAATAACTTTACCGTAACTATTAAAAAATATCAACTCTAATCTGCCATGTCATTCTGAAAAAACATCACTCCCCCTGGGAATGCCGTGTGTGCACAGACACGCACCTCTTTTCCGCCTGGGCGCTGTGCCACTGGTTCTGGGAGTGCTGCTGGTTCTGGGAGTGCTGCTGGCTCTGGGAATGCTGCTGGCCCTGGGAATGCTGCTGGCCCTGGGAATGCTGCTGGCCCTGGGAGTGCCGGCTGCCCCTCGGTGTGCCCCTGCCCCCGTGGCTGCTGTTCCGGCCCCCGGCAGGGGCACGAAGCCCAGCCCAAAGCTGCTCCTCGTTCCTGTGGAGCGGCACGGATGTGCGGATGGCAGAAATGACGTGGCCGGGATAGGCAGAGAGCGAGTCCTCGTGGTGGGAGCTGTGGTGAGTCCTGTCCGAGGCCGGGAACTGCCGCCCCGGGCGCCGGTACCCCCGATCCCGCTCCCGGTAATAGGCGGGGAGGCAGGGCCGGGTCTGCTCCATCACACCTCCACTGCAGCTCCGGGAGCAGGCAGACCAGGGGCCCCAGTTGCCCCACATGCCTGGGATTCCTGCACTGCTGTCCTCAGACGCATCTCCTTGCTCTTCTATCCTCTGCGGAACCTGCGGACACAACACATGGATTAAGGAATTAGAATTCACGCTGTAACACGAGGAGAGCACTAATACCCTTGTCCAGCCATTCACTCTGCAGTCCTAAGTGAAGTGGGATGACATAAGAAGTAGCATCTCTCATTCCCAGCCTGCCAGAGGATGGCCTGTCCTGCCAGTATAGGAGGAGGTTTCCTACAGCCATCAACCATTCAGATAAAAAGTCTGGGCGGGTCATTTTTTTTGACTATCTGGACAGAAATAGTTTTTCTTTAGTTCTCAGCAATGGAAAGCACTGCATGATGCAAAGCTTAGAAATGTGGAGACTGAAAAGTGTTGTCATAATAGCAAAAGCAGGAAAAAAGGTTGGTTTTGGTGATGAAGTAGGGTCAACAGACACTGGCTGCTCTCTCCCACTCTGATGCCTCCAACAATGGAGATTGCTAGTGGTTGCAATATTATTTCAGGAACTCCCACTTAATGTGGAACTTTTTAATGAAAGCAATAATGTAAGAGGACAGGCTGATTTCCAACCAACCAAAAATGCTCCTATAGTTAACTCTCACATTACCACTTTTCCCCTGGTCTCCACATTATCACTTCAAGAGAAAGAGCTGTTCAAGATGACCCACCAAATCCTACATTCACAGAAACTCCCATCAAACTCAATAAATGACAGGACAAATTGTTGGTCTCTGGTGTTCAGTGCCACTTAGTCCATTCAGCAGCACAAGGAAAGTGAAAGAAGGACCCCTCAAAGAGAGGGGTCCTCTTGTGAAGGAAGCTGGGGAGGATTAGGAAGGACAGGGTCTGTTACCACGAGGAGAGTTAACCCTTCAAGCTGTGGCCAAATATTTCAACATCCTGACCTTGTGGTTGGAAAGATATCAGCGCAGCTAAGAAGTTACAACTACCCATCCCCATCTCCCTGTGGATTTGTGGCCCAAATTTACCCATCCTTGGAGCTAGATACAGTCAGGATTTCTCAGAATTTGCACTGGGCAAAGAACTCAACTTTGTCACATAGAAATTATATGTATTTTCATTTGCTTCCCTTGACCAACTGGCTGAATCACAAGTTTTCAAAGCAGGTTTCCAATGTCTGTTTCTCACAATTATTATTATGTAGAACATCCTTTTAAAATGAGCATCCTTTAAATAGTTTATTTATATTCTGAACAACCTTTGTACCAACAAGCATGCACACATATCAATTCATTTGGGAGACAAAAAGAAGGCACTGTCCACAAACAAATGCTTGCCATACCTCTCCAGAGCTATTCCAGTGTGTAGCTACCTCAAAATGAGCTTTGTCTGTCTGTGTGTCACTTCTGCCCCCTTCAAAGGATGAGAACCTAAGCATGTAACTTCCAGCAATAATTGTATAATAGCAAAAGATTAACATCTACACACTTTGCCTCCAGTCACGGATCCCATGCGAGGTCAGTAACTGAGCTGCACCCCACCAAGGGCAGGGAGCTCCCATTCCTCACCCCACCAAGGGCAGGGAGCTCCCATTCCTCACCCCACCTAGGGCAGGGAGCTCCCGTTCCTCCCTCATTCCACCTAGGGCAGGGAGCTCCCATTCCTCCCTCATCCCACCTAGGGCAGGGAGCTCCCATTCCTCACCCCACCTATGGCAGGGAGCTCCCATTCCTCACCCCACCTAGGGCAGGGAGCTCCCATTCCTCACCCCACCTAGGGCAGGGAGCTCCCATTCCTCATCCCACCTAGGGCAGGGCAGGGAGCTCCCATTCCTCACCCCACCAAGGGCAGGGAGCTCCCATTCCTCACCCCACCTAGGGCAGGGAGCTCCCATTCCTCATCCCACCAAGGGCAGGGACCTCCCATTCCTCATCCCACCTATGGCAGGGAGCTCCCATTCCTCCCTCACCCCACCTATGGCAGGGAGCTCCCATTCCTCATCCCACCTATGGCAGGGAGCTCCCATTCCTCATCCCACCTAGGGCAGGGAGCTCCCATTCCTCATCCCACCTAGGGCAGGGACCTCCCATTCCTCATCCCACCTAGCTCCCATTCCTCATCCCACCTAGGGCAGGGAGCTCCCATTCCTCATCCCACCTAGGGCAGGGACCTCCCATTCCTCATCCCGTGGCTGGGAACACGGCAGGCTGGAGGGGAATGTGGTTTGCAAACATGGGTTGGCCTGAGCGTTACAATGCAACGAGCCAAGCCAGCCCAGGGTTTGTGGTGCTGATGTGTAACAGGCAGTTGTGGTCTGTGTAATCTGAAACATTGCCCCGCTCTGAGGCTGCTCTCACACTTTCATCACCAACCACAGAAGAAACTGCATTTAATTATAACTTCTGAATAACAAAAAGCATCTGCTTTAGTGTGATATGTTACCCATTTCTCCTATGTAATTTGAAAACAGGAGCAGATGTCTCTGTATTTAATATGTCTTTTTCTCCTGTGGGTACCCCATTTGGCATCAACCTGTACAACCTAATACTGCACAATGTCAAAATTATGAATAACGTGCAACAAGGTCTTGATTTCTGGCTGTTACATTTGCTCTTATATCCAGTAACAGAACACCACTGGCTTACAATCTGACCAACTAAACAAGCTATTCTTCAGTTTGTGATTTTTCACAGTAAATATTCACTGCTCATACTTACACTGCACATTAATGTGGTTTTCCCTCAGATATAAAATGGGAACAGCTACACACAGGAACGCTATCTGGTCTGAACCCACTCTGAAGCAAAATTTATTTATTATAAAACCAGCAGTCCTTTGTAATCAAACAAATGATGTTTCACTTGTTTAGACTATTTCTTAATCATTTCTATAATGGTTCAGTACACCTGTTATTTTAAAATGCCAAAGACACTCATGCAGGGAACAACTAAAAACCAGTAGTCTGTAAGATAACTCAAGTTACCACTAACATAAGAAATATGTCATTATACAGAAACAGAAAGTGATATAACAGTGACAAGTGTCAACTTGCTGCAGAAAGAACTTTCTGGCTGCCAAACTTCACTGCAGCAAGAATTGGTTCAGATAAAATGATACTTTATATGACTGAAGGCAATCTAAAGTAATTTCACATCCTTTAATCTTCACAGTAAAAGAGGTCTAGACACGGTACAAAAAGGTTTAATCTAGCTAATTATGTAAGAACATAACAATAAAACTAATAAAAAAGTAATATTATAATGTCTTGTACTGATGTACAAACTCATCAGTACTACTTAGCTATAAGATGACAAAATTCTGAGATGGGAATTTCTGGTAGCAAATCAGGTTATGCACTTTTATTTTTAATGAAGGTCCCTGTTTTCTTACTTTAAGATGTGGGCTACAGATGAATCTTTAGAGGACATGACGTGATTAATGGTATAATCTACACAGCAAATCTACTATGAAAGACTGAATAAATTGAAGCTGCTCGGATTTAGGAATGGAAAACAGAGGGGACAATACTGAGTCTTCCAAACAGTTAACATAAATAAATACAAGGAGCTGTTCCTTTTCCCTTTGCAGCAAACTGTTCTTGTCTGTGGTCAACACACAACAGTGGACTCAAAGTTTACCAAAGGTGCCCTAAATTAGCCAGTAAGGAAAACTACTTCAGCAGAAAGGCAAACAAAGCAGGGGAACAGATTGCCTGAGGAGATCCTGGCAGCACTGAGGCCAATCCCAAAGCTCTGCCAGGCAAAGCCCTTCCACAGGACTCACAGGCCACTTCCCTTCCTTTGGTCCTGGGATTTCCAAGTTACTCTGTAGCCAGTAACAAATTCCACCACAGCCCTACGATACAGCCAAGAAATTCCAGGTAGCTACAGGAGACAGCTCAAGTATTTCAGAGCATTTCAGAAACACCACATATTCAGAGACTCCTGACACTAAGTCCCTCTTCCTCTTGCTTTAAAAACTACCCATTATAAGCATACTTTCTGAAGGGAAGAGTTTGAGCCTGCACTGGGGAACAAGTGAAACACAAACTGAACTCCTCTTGCCAAGTTAACTAATTTCTTTAATAGAATCACATAGCCTGCAAAAAGGGAGAGATAACTAACCCATTTAATCTACTTTCCCATAATTCATGACCGATCCCTTCTCTGGGTGACCTATTAATATTCATTCTAACTATAAATGCACCATCAAAAAGATTTCTATCTACTGCAAATTAATCAACAACCAAACATTTTGCTCTACAGACTCAATTTATTTTCCCCCTTAGTTTCCCCCTTTCTTTCTTCCCTGTATACACTTCAGTTATTTGTAAGTGGAAGCAACACATTTCACTATGTGCAGCTGTACAATAAACAATGCAAAGAAAAGTAAGAGAAGCTCCCAGTTGTGCAAGTGCTTGCAATTCCTACACCTGCACTAACTCCTATTAACCTGCTGTCAAAAATTCTTTATAATGATTGTTATGCACCAAGTATCTTCTGGTCTGCCACCTTTCCAACAGTAAGTGGCAAACTGAATCAAGGGAGGATTTTTAGCAGGGTAGTTGCAGTGTCACCCCTTCCATTACACATCAGCTCTGCATCCCCTTCTGGTTTTCCCCCAGTCATCTTGTATTTTGCTACTTTTCCACACAGGAGCTGCATTACATCCAGGTTTTATTCTAAGAGCTTGTTGGGTTTTTTTTTTGCAAAAACACACTGAATTAAACATGCTGCCAGTAAGTTGATGTAGACGACATTTTAAGTACAAAAACCAGTTTATCTCAAATTCCTGTAATTCAGCACTAACTCTGATTCCTGAATCAAAAATTGCAGCAAAAATTAAAAGAACACTAACTGTAGAAATGCAGTGCAGATTTCTAATACTGTCTCTGTCAGAATCTAGAAATAAGATCCACATCCTGGGATTTCAGCAGCAGTTGTTGTAACCATACTATGCAAGAATGTCCCTGAAGAGGAAACGTCACTTGAACTGAAAGCCACAAATACTTAAAACTGAAGTTGTTGTGCAGGAGCACAATGGCAGAGACTGCAGTACTGACCTGACAAACACTAATTTTAAATACT